GAAAAACGTAGGCATGCTATGCATGCAAGAGTTATTTTTTGGGGGCGGGTGGATTACTTGAAACATTGTAAGAAATGTCTACATTTTTACAAAAGGAAAGAAGAGAATTAACGTGGAAAAGAACGAAAATGTCGAATTAACTCTCACGCAGGTATTTTGTGGTAAACTGTGTGTGTTATGCGAATAACTGTAACCAAAAATAAACTGTATTGGTGCCACAGATACCTGTTAGTATAAAATGCAGACTGCAGACCGGATACAAAATGTATACTAGGTACAAAATGTAGCCTGTATACTGTAGAGTGGGTACACAATGCAGACTGAGAATCTGAAGAGTTTTTTCGTCTGGTAACTTACCGAGCGTCACGCAATCGCTTTTCCGCGATCAGCTCTCACGATTATTTGCACCATTGTGGAATATTCCTGGCCCGTATTTTGATCAAAATTGATCTTGATATAATTTCAAGCCTTCGTGTAGTCTTCTCACTTTGCGCGCGAGTTGGTTGGTGTGATGTCTGTACAGATTTTACCAACGTAATAAAAGTAGATGTAGATGTAAATGAGATGTCACTATTGAATATTTAACACGCGCAATATTCGACAGCTTTGCACGTGGTCCGTATTATCATCTTTTTAAGCGGCATGTGTTTATTTTGTTGACATTAAATACTCTTGAAGAGAGCGATACAGATCATAGTGCGAATAATTTTCACGCTGATACAGTTTGAATGAAAACGCTAATTTTTCATCTGAGATTTTCTGATAGCACAGCCAAGAATTCAACCTAAGAGCTCAGGCAGCAATACTCATTTTTCATGTTTTCAAGCGAAAACGATAAAATAAAGCTTCAAAGGAATTTCCCGGCGTTATAATAAACTGCACTGTTCCAAGACTGCTTTTTTAACAGTTTACTTTGAAATAATTTTCCGCCGACTTCGGTCGCGCATGCCCCGGAGCAATAGCTCTTCAGTAAAAGGAAGTGACGCCGGATCGAATCAATAATCTCACGTTTATTATTTTCGGATATTATGATTGAAAGATCTGTTACAAGCTTGACAGGAATTTTTCGT